GGGGGGGGGGGGCAGTTGGCTAAAACTGAAAGTGAAACAGAGGCAAGGAAATGAACTCACCTGTCGAACTCATCAAAGAGGTCACAGCTCTGCAGTTTTGAAAGAGCAAGTCGAAAATATTCCGCTAGAAAACAAATGGAGCACTGTGAGTGAAAGGAATCGTGGCTTCTTTGGCACATAGTAAGCAACCTTACCCCTCCCTTGCCCAAAAGCCATTTTCAACTGGTGTGGCTACATTTCATTTCTCTTGCGATGAAGATTCCTGATACGAAGACTGCATTTAGCCAGCACACTCACAATGGTAAATGCCCTAAGGTCACGTTTCAAAACCCCAAGAAAAATAACAGGACTAATGAGAAAACAGTCATAAAAAAGTAACCCCCAAATTAGCAATATCAGATGATTCTGAAACTGACATCAGTATAGAAATCAATATACAGTAAGTTTAACCTTATGGAATTACCAAATTCTCTGCAATATACGTTTAAAATACACACGCACACACACACAGGATCAGTTAATTAAGCAAAATCTAACTCAGAAAACTGTAGGCTTGCCACCTGCTGGGCCTTTGGAGTCTCTCAAAAACCGAGAATAAACCTGTGTAAGGCAAGTCGGGCGTCAAGCAGAGAGAAAATTGTTCCATCATTAGCGGATGGAATATTTCTCTCTAAATTTAGCAAAAATCAAATATCCACTGATTAAATTTTAACAATTGGGCAAGGAGCTAGACCTTGCTGATGAAATGATGAAATAAAGTAAAACCCACAGGACAAGAGGTGAAACGGGAGACTGGAAGTTAGTACACGGGGTTATCCTGCTAATTCTAAACTAGAATAATTCATTAACTCTACGGTGGCAAAGCAAAGTAAAACACAGTGTGTTAACAACAGCAATAAAAATCTTTGCTTTATTGTTTTATTCTATACTGCCTCAAAAGGAATTATATACTAAAATGAACTCCCTTCTTCCCATCCCAAAACCATTGATTCTTTAGGAATCATTATGAAGCAGAAAGATTTAAAAGGCCTTAAAATCACATAAACATGTGGCTCACATCAAACACTACTCGTATGTAACAGGGCAGGTTAAGAATAATGTTACTGACCTGATGTTCTTGTCCCATAGGGCAAATCAAACTTATCACTACCATAGAAGGAAGCAAGCTTTTTAAAATCAGATGCACAAAGGAAGGGGTGAAACGGATGAGACCTGGAAGACAAGGGTAAGGAATGATTTTCCCCAGATGCACATAACACTTGTAGGCTTTGAAGGTCGCAGTTGACAATAACCGTAGCACATCGCTCATACTGTTATATTGACTGTATGAGTGTGTAATTATTTTTTCAATTCTTTAAAATCATCTTAAACGGTATTTAAATATTACATAAATGGGATACGCAGTGGAACTGCATGACCAGCCTGGAAACACTTTCCAGGTGGTGGAGCCAAAATTAGGGAACAGCTAAAGGGAACAGCTCATGTTGGGAACCCAATTCTAAAACCAACCAACACCAAGAGATAAAACATTAGCCATACACTGGAAGAAACCAAGGAACTAATAAGGGGAAATAAAAGTATTGACACTAACTAGTCCCAAATGTTAAGGCACCATATGTATGAAGGTTTGTGCTATGAAAATAAAATTTATATTAAAATTAGATGTAGCTAAAACCCAACTCCTGATGCCATTAAATTAAGAGCTACTCAAGAACAAGGACCACGGGCCTTTGTCTTCTGATTGCCTGTCTGTCCTGAAGGTACCCCCCCACTCAGGTGCTCTCTCAGACAAGAGACAAAGTTTGATGAGAATAGGGGGTGCCTCTGGTTTTTCTCACTTTTAGTGCCTGGCACAGAGTAGGCAGACAACACACATTTAATTAATGACTGAATGAATTCCAATTCCAAACTAATTCTTTATGCAACCGTTATCTAATAGAAAAAAGATTTTTTTAATTAAAGATAAGGGACAGGTAATGCTCATATTAAAATACCATCTTTACCTACCAGAGGGACTGAATGCTACAAAGAAAATCAAGCTAATTCTTCTCCCAAACCCCACACAGAGCCCTGTCTTCCCAGACTTATCACTTTTGCTTTATCTTAGTCTAAAAACTGCAGGTGGGGATCCGAGCACCCCGAGGCTTCGGAGGCTCGGTGACAGAGTGGAAATACACAGCAGTAGGGTAGGGGTGAACGAGCTTCAGTTTCATCCTGGCTTTGCCACTCACGAGCCTCTAACATTTTTCAGAGCTGAGCTAAAGGCTCACATGCACTTAGACTAAGGAAACAGGTGAGAGACCAGGCCTTCCTGCGTTAGACAGGATGCGCTCCCAGATTCAGCTGGTACAGCAAGAGCAGCCTCGGAGGCCCAGACCATCTCAAAGGGTCGTGTGCGTATCAGGATTAATGGCCAAGTTCAGCATCTGCTCTGAGAAGATGAAGTGTCAGGTCACCTGACTTAAGACTGAGGGGAGACACAAGATCTTCCCAGCTCGGGAACCTGAACCACAGGTGACTTTGCACCTTGAGAGCAAGGCAATAAAGACCCCGTTCTCTGGAGTTGCTGGGGGTGATGATGACTAATGATTAGTGTCTATTGCCAGTCAATCCTCGTGCTAGATGACTTACATTTTATTTCTAAATGACGTAACAGTTTAGCACCACGTCTCACACACAGTAGGGGCTCAGTAAGTATCAGCCTTATCTGTAATAATTACACACTCCAGTGTATATTACCTTGCATTATGCGACCTGTGTACTATAATGTATCATATTACATTACACTTCCGCTACTGTTGCACCTACAGACATCTGGAAAGGCAGGTAAAGTCTACTTAATCACTTTAGACAAAGAAACTAAAGCCAGGAGAAGGGAAGTAACTACACAGTATTATATGGGGGTCACTGACCCGTATCTGACAAAGCTGAAGTCCACACCCAGGCCTAGCTCTAGGGAAAGGTTCCTCTTTGCAGCACTGCAGGCAACGCCTCCAGCTGTCCCAGTAGAGCTGCTCCTGGTTCCTCCTGGCAGCGGAGAGAGCACTGCCCCAGTGACTACAATTCACAGGACAACTGCAAATCTACGAGTCCATTAAACTGCAGACCCTCTGCGCCTGCTGGGCAATGTTGCATAAATACTTTACCCCTTTTCTCAGAAAGGAAATACCCTTTTTTTTACTAACGATGAAGAATGCCTTGGTTCTAGAGCAGCATTTTAACTTGCAGTCTGCAACCCACAGGCGGTTCATAAATTTTGTGAGTCACTGTCAACATATATTTCTAAGTAAATAGAACAGAATATAGGGCATCTGGAGTAAGAAGGGTAAAAATTCTTTTTTCTCTTATTATAAACATGCATATATACTAAGTTACAAAGTAAAACGTATTTCCTAGTATGGTTCATGGTCAAAAAAGTATAAGATCTCTCTCCGAGTGTTTCAGTGGCCCTAACCGGACACACCCCAGTGGACAGACGGCGAGCAGCCGTGGCTCACCTATAACCATATACAGAAATAGTTCATGTGTCTGCAGGTTTCCAGAGAGTTGGCTGATTTTAAGGCGATCTGTGGCCCCCAAAAGGTAAAGAACCAGTGATGGAAAGGTGCAATAATATAATAAAACAAAATAAAAACGGGAAATGTGATTTTTGATCCTTGATAAAACGTTAAAAACAAACCTGGTACCTGTTTTACACAATCAAACATGCTAAGACTAGCCCGTCCTTTATTCCTCTTTGTTTAGAATCATTTTGACTAGCCTGTTAAAGTTGAGGCGACAGAGGGGAAAAACATTCGTGGATGGAAGAGTAAATTCCCTACAACCATAATGAACAATCATTATTTACATCCTCTATAGATGAATATGTAGTTCCTTAAAAGTCAGTGAAAAATTTCTAACTGTAAGGTTTATCTTAGAGGCGAGGGAGAAGCCACAAACTAAGGATGGAAAATAACACCGGAACACAACGGGGGGGGGG